AGAAAAAAAAGAGGCCATGACCCGGATGACTAGAAGAATAAAGGTCCCATTAACCAACATAGAAAAGCAGATTGAATGGGGAGCGAACAGCTGGGTCATATTGAATGTAAGGTGCCTGTTGGAAATCCAAGTAAAATACTACTGGAGATAGATCAACACACACACACAGACACCGGCCATTCTACAGGTCAGGACTGGAGAAAGATTTAGAAATTATCTGCATATAGGAGATCATGCACAGTGGCCCAAGGACAGAGTTCAAAAAAACACTTAAATGGCAGATGGAGGAAATGGAGCCTACCAAGGAGACAGAGAAGGAACAAGTCAAGATGTTGGAGGGAAACCGGGACAGAGTCGAGCCCTGGGAATCAAGGAAAAGGTGAATTTCAAGAAGGCTGGAGGGATTACCTTGGTCAAAGGCAGCCAAGAGGTCAAGTATGATACAGAATGACCCTTCCCATTGCGTAGAACAATTTGGAGGTTGCTAGAATTTGTCAAGAGTGGGTTCTATGGGATGGTGAGTACAAGCTGAATACCAGTGGTTGATAAATGAATGTGAGGTGACACATGGAACCACAATGAACATACACAGGTCTTTTAGGAAGCAAGGCTGGGAAGAGAGAGAGACAGGTTTGTAGCTGGGGCAAAACTCTTGAGTCAGGAGATATTTGCGGGGAGGGATGTTGGGAGGACTGAAAGAGAAAATGGGTTGATCTCAGCTGCACATTGTCAAACTGCCTGCAAACCTCAGTTACTTATTAACACAGTCTCCCGGACACCCAGCAGTAGCCTGGTTTGAATGTCACAATGAGACACTGGCAACAGGGAAACTGTGTTGAAGAGAGAAGAATCTAGCAGCCTGAGAAGAAAAATAAGTAGGAAACTAAAGACATTTGTTCTTTGTGGCATACCTTCTCTGGTTTTCAGCTCATCTCTTCCCCGTAGGACCTTGATGTTTTTCTCTCTCTCTACCTACTTAGACTCTCTTCAACACCTGACAGGCTTCCCACTCATTTCCTTTGTTATGATGAGACTGAAAAAGTGGTCTCTTCAAGGGGTAATGAAAGCCCCAGCATTTACACACTGAAATCTCACAGAAATCACCAGAAACTGAGATGATCCCATGTGAAAGTCTGAGGGTTAGGGAGAAAATTGAAGGGTGAGGGAAGGCAGAGCGGAGAAGGAGGGGAGAGAGAGGAGGAGGGTAAGGAGAGAGGACAGGGAACAGAAAATGAGAGGTTCTTTCTAACTCCAGGGGGGGAAGCATAGGTGAGGATGGAATAAAGGGGGGAGAGGAGGGGGAGGGGCAAGGAGAGAAAATAAGTCAGGTTAAACTGGGGAAGCACGTGCATTAAAACAGTGTGTATAAAAAATGCAGTTTTAGGGGCGCTTGGGTGGCTCAGTCGGTTAAGCATCCTGCTTCTTGGTTTCGGCTCAGGCTGTGATCTCAGGGTCGTGAGACTGAGCGCCGGGGCACTCAGTGGGGGGTCTGCTGGAGTTTCTCTCCCTCTGCTTCTCCCCGTGCACTTGCTCTCTCTCTAATAAATAAATAAAATCTTTTTTTTAAAAAAAGATTTTATTTATTTATTTGAGACAGAGAGAATGAGAGAGAGAGCACATGAGAGGGGGGAGGGTCAGAGGGAGAAGCAGACTCCCCGCTGAGCAGGGAGCCCGATGCGGGACTCAATCCCGGGACTCCAGGATCATGACCTGAGCCGAAGGCAGTCGCTTAACCAACTGAGCCACCCAGGCGCCCCTAAATAAATCTTAAAAAAAGAAAAGAAATGCGCTTCTATTCTACTCAGGTATTTTCTGCTCACTTTCCCCACAAACACGTGCTGGCTGGCCACTCTGGGCCAGGCACCGTGTTTGGTGCGTGAGCAGTAATGTGCCTGCCCCGGGCTGAAGCAGCCATTCACAAGGACGGGCGGTAAATCCCACAGCAGGGGCCAGCGTAAGACCCCGAGAGAACAACTCACCAATCCTGGGCGGGTGGGGGGGCGGCGCACAAAAGTTCCCTGAGAAGCCATCCGTCCTCTGAGCTGACGGGTCAGGAGGAGGTAGCAGCCACAGAGCGTGCGCTCGGAGAGAACCGCCGGGCAGAGTGAGGGCACAGGGCAGTCACGATGTCAGCATGAGGAGCGCCTGCCGACAGACACACAACAGATTAGCAGGGAAAGTAAACAGCGACCTAATGAAACAGGGTCCTTGCGACAGGTTAAGGATTTGGGATTTATGTTAAGCCCAGAAGGCTTTTTAAAAAAACATGGGAGTATCCTAACCTCCTTTACCTTTTAAAAAGATCATTCCAAAGGGAGGGGGGAAACACCTGCAGGCAAATATTGAACTTGGTTAATGGTAAGGATGCACAGATTAGGAGGAAGTATACTGAGGTCTGTGATTTACTTGGAAATGCATGACGGAAAAGAAGCCTGGTGGGTAACTAGAAGGCTGGAAGGCTGGCTAGATGTGGGACAATGAAAATACAGTAAAATGGTAATGGTAAACCGAAGTGGTGGGGATAGGGGGCTCATTGTAAAATTCTCTCAACTTTCCTTATGTTTGAAAATGTTCATAATAAAATACGGGGAAATTTAGATCATTCTGGCTGCTTGGAGAACGTTCTAGGAAGGGACACAGGAGCCAGTGAGGAGGTGGTTGCAGTAATTGAGGCAAGAGGTAGTCATGGCCCCCAAAACTGGGGAGAAACAGGGAGAGAAGAATTTGAATTCCAGAGCCATTTCGGAAGTTACATCAACGGTTTGGTGAGGGAACGGCTGTGGAGGGAAGGCAGGCTAGGGATAAACAACAAACCTACCAATCAAGAGTTGAGCAAGGATGGCCACTAGATTTGGGGGTGAAAAGAAGGACTCATAAGACCCATGAAGAACTGTGAGTCACCAGTGTCCCCTTCAACTGGCCTCTGACTTCAGGTCCTCACCAGGAGATTCCTGGCACGAATTCTTTGCCTTCTCGGTCTGCTCTGGAACTCGTGGGGAACTCAGTGGGCTGTGGCAACTTGGCACCCCTCAAGCAGAGCAGGGGGGAGAGCCGGAGAGCGGCTACTTCCCTGCAGGGGCTGGGCTGCTCCAGCCCTCCCCTCAGCCCTCCCAGAGCGCCGCTGCAGCTCTGCTCTTGTCAATTTAAGTGCTCTGTTTTCTCAGAACAAAAGTTGTTTGGGGTCAGCTGCTTCAAATGGCTTCTTCATCCTCAGCCAGCTTTAATTCATCAGCTTTCAGTTGCAAACCAGATTTCTCGGGAGGACTCAATCACAGTAAAGCAAAAATGAGTTTTCCTCAGGGCTGCAAACTGCCTCTCGGCTGAAGCAGATGTTGGCCTGATGGTTCTGGGAGAGGCAGCCTCAGGGGTCCCTCCCTCCCCAGCGCCTGCGCAGATTGTAATTTCGGCTCATTTCCTACAAGCCTTGCGCTGGAGACTGTTAGCAAGCCCCTCCTCGACCTTCTTCCCAAACGTCCTGTTTTCCATTTCCATAATTCTGGGCCTCAGTGCTGGAGGCTTCTCCCTGTCACGCCCAGGGCCTTGGGAGGCTTAGGCACATCGGGAGTGTTTGTGAGGACTTGAGCAGGGCGGGCAGGCCACATCCACGGGCATGCGCCTGGCCACAGAAATGCAGTGACTGTTTGGCATCAGACCCTAAAAGGGGGACTCCCAACTCTGCTTAAGGACATGGGAGCCTGGGGGCGCCTGCGTGGCTCAGTCGGTTAAGCGGCTGCCTTCAGCTCAGGTCATGATCCCAGGGTCCTGGGATCGAGCCCCACTTCGGGCTCCCTGCTCAGCGGGAAGCCTGCTTTTCCCTCTGCCCCTGCTCCCACTCAGTCTCTCTCTCTCTCAAATAAATCTTTAAAAATTAAAGAAAAAAAAGACATGGGAGGCTGGGCCAATAATCATCACTGCTCCCAAATAAAGCTAGACACACATGCCTCCCAGCACACCGTCTGATTCTGGCCTTTGACTTTCTGAAAAACAGACCTCACCTGAGACCCAGACAGCATCTACCCCTTCAGTCTTGGAGGGAACCCACTCAGGTGGCCCTCAGGCATCAGATATGAAGCTCTGCCCCTCCCCCAGCTGAGCCTCAGGCTCCCCACAGTGAAATCGGGGAGGGCGCTCAGGCTGGGGGTCGTTTCTAGGGGTGAGTCAGACCATGGAGCGCAGGCTGGGTCCTTTGTGGCGCTCAGCCCGCCGCGGTGGTGATCACCGGGCGGAGAACTCCATTTTCCGGCGTGATGACTAACTCACGTCTGCACATCAGCTACGGAGCTGAGCAGCCCAGAGTGGGCTTTGTGTGCTTCAAGTATAAAAATGCTCTTATTGTTCTAATTTCCTAGGTATTGGTAACACTTCAGTCACTTTGGCTGCTTGTCCCTTGGAGAGGGGACTTGTTTTAGGAAACAGGCAAGGAGAGGGGCTCCTTTTCCAGCGTTTTCATCATCTTTGGGCCTCTCCCAAGAGTCCTGTTCGAGTGTCCCAGCCTCTCCTGGTTGAGAAGGACTTTCTTGTGCACATGATCACTGCCGAGGACACTTGCAGAATATTTCACGGGACAGGGGCCTCTGCATGCTCAGGGAGATCGTTTTGTGGGCTGTTGGGGGGACTGTTTTGGTTTTGTTTGTTTGGGCTTTGGTCACGCATTTAAATTCTTGGGTCTCCAAGGCCCTGCTTTATCTCTGGGTCACTGTGTCTGTTCCCCAGCAGGAACCTTAGCTCCTGTGCGCTGACAGAGGTCGCTGTCACTCGAGCCACCAGGTGGTGCATCCCAGGCGTCTTAGCCGAGGAAGGGGCAGGTGGAGAGGCAGGCAGACCGGGGCAGGGACCCAGAGACAAAGGCTTCACAGAATAAAGGAAAAGAATTAAAGCCAAAAGACTTACTTTGTGCCAGGCACGATGCCAAGTCCTTTCTGTGAATTTTCTTTCATTTCTTTCCCCCAGCCATCCCTGTTATGAAACAGCCCTTTATACTATAAAAAGGCCAACTTGGAGAGTGGGCCACGTTCTCCAGGTCATCCAGCTGGCCCGGGGCAGAGCAAAGGGCAGAAGTCAGCCGCTGACCAGAGCTCAGGATCCTTCCCGCTCCCGGGTCTCTGCTTCTCTGAGGAAGTGGAAGCCTCCAGCTCCAGCCACAGGAGGCCCCTCGACCTGGGTGAGATGGATGCCCTTGAACTAGCGCCACCTGGAGCTCTGTGCCCACACCTGGGCGGCTGGGGAGTGGAGGGGGCAATAAATGGGCAAGATGGCAGCCTCCCATCTCTGGAAGTGGGAGGGAGCGGCTCCTGCTTTGAAAGTAAGTATTAGGAAAGCACTAGAAGGGGCAGCATCTTTCCTCTGTTCCCCTGTTACAGCAGCTTCTTTAAAGATACCGGATGGCCGCAGCTGGGCCTGACACGGGAGCGGGGGCAGCTGCAGGTTTGGGCTTGAGGGTGGGCTTGGAACGTGAGGCCGGGGTCTCCATCCCCAGCACACTGGCCGCTCTAAACTCAGGTGAGGCCAGGGGTTTTCAGTTTCACTGCGATGGGCCACGGGGGCCTTCCTGCAAGGCCCGGGGGACTATGGGAGCCAGGGGCTCCTGGGGGCGTGAAGGCTGAGGGAGCCCTGTTTCCCAAGGCGTTGGGCACTGGACACAGGGTGCTCTTCTGCCTTTCTTCTTTTTAGTCTCTCGTTCCCCTCCCTCGCGTTACCAGTACTACCCGGAACTGAGTGGGAAACACAGCGCTCAACAAGCAGCAAGGGGAAAGCAAGCCAGGCTCCGCGCTCCCGTGCTAAGGAGCGGACTGTGGGTGTGCAAGGCCGGTCCAGCTGACTCTATGCGGGCACGCACCCCCTGGGCTCTGCGTCCCGCGGCTCGCGCTCAGAGGGTCGGAGCGTCGGAGATGGGTTGGGGCTGCTGGAAGCAGAGCTACTGCTCCCTGGGGAGGACCAGCTGCTTGGGGTGGAGGGCTGCATGGACGCAGTAGCTCCATCAGGGCTCCATCAGGGCTGGCCATCGATGGCATAAGGATGCACCTGTCCCACCACCCCATCCCACCATGCCCTCTGCGCCCTGTAGAATCTGGTTATGGAGCATTTGCTCTGTTACTCATCCAGGATCAATGCTCTGACTTCCAAGCCCACATGTCACGGGGTTGGAAAGTCTGCCTCCCAGGGGGATGCGCCAGGATAAGTTCCCAGGCTGGAGCCATTCCACGCTGACCCTCCCTCACCTTAGGGCTGGTCTCTTCCCGGGAGTCCATTTTTGGGGGTGGGTGTCAGAATGCTAAGGCGTGTTCCACCTGCCCTGACATTTTATGATGCCACCTCCGATAGAGGTCCTACGAGCAGCCAGAGGGTCATGGTCACTTGAAAGAGCCCTGAAACCCATCCTCACTCCTTGGGATGGTGGAGGGCATGGAGTGCCTGTCCCATCTATCGCACAGGCAGGCGGGGCTCCTGTCTGCAGTCGGCCATGGAACGGTGGTGGCAGCTCCTGTTAGGGCTGTGGACAGTCACGCCGCCCACCTGGGCTGGGGACGAGCTGCTCAATGTCTGCATGAACACCAAACACCACAAGCAAGAGCCTGGCCCAGAAGACAAGCTCTACGAGGAGGTACGGAGGCCGGACCTTGCCTGGGGGTGGGAGTGAGGCTGCTTTGGCAGATCAGGGAAGGGACGCAAATTCCATGACGGTTTCTGAGCCACCATCAACCCTGACTCATGTGGTTCCTTACATTGGCACTGAGGCCAAGGCCACTGGAGGGACACTGTGGCCTTTTGAGATCATAGCCATTGAGTGCTTCAAAGTTCCCATCTCTGAGCTGCCCAGCCTGGGGGAACAGGGGCAGATGGTGATCCCAGAGGCCCAGCCCTGGTTCAGCATAGATGCAAACAAGGTCCTCCTCCTCTAGCCTTCTTCCTACCAATAGGCACTAGGGAGACCTAGGATTTAGGCAACCCCTCCCCAAGCCCTAAAGGCAGTTGACGGGGAAGAGGGTGGGCACGGGGGAGGCAGGGAGGGGTTGTGGAGCTGGCCTTTCCCTGTGAGCGCTTCTTAGTGCTCCACATCCCCCTGGGGTTCGTGGGGCTCCTCTGCCACCCCCCGGGAGCTGAGACCCTGCAAGTCCTGTTTCTAGAGGACTGTAGCAGCCTGTGATGGGGAGATCAGCATGCGGGGCCCTTTGGCTGGGGATTCTGACACATTCTCAGCATTTCTTCTATATGAGTATGATCGGCTTGAAGCCATCCCACTTGCCCAGGTCCTCCTCAGTCTCCTGCATCTTAGCCAACCCCATGCCTTTTCCTTCTTCATCGGCCTTCAGTGCCTCCCCTGGCAAGACAACGCCTGCTGCACGGCGGGCACCAGCTGGGAAGCCCACCTAGACGTGTCCCTGCTCTACAACTTTAGCTTGCTCCACTGTGGGGTGATGATGCCAGGCTGCGAGAAGCACTTCCTCCAGGCCGTCTGCTTCTATGAGTGCTCCCCGAACCTGGGGCCTTGGATCCGGAAGGTCAGAAGGCTGGGCTGGGGAGGCGGGAGGCATGTCCGCGCAGTGCCCTGTTACTAAGGGCCTGAGCCCTGCGATGCTGGCAGGAGCAGGCCGCGCTATCCCCCTACAGACAAGAGCAGAGTCAGAGGCCTACAGACAAGAGCAGAGTCAGAGGCCGGGTTGGGGAAAAGGTCAGAGAGGAAGCCACCTCGGGCCCTGCAGAACGGTGTAGCGGGCAAGAGATGAGGACTGTAGGGTGAGGGACTACTGCAATCCCGGTCTTCTGGATGCAGGAAGCTGTGTAGCCTGGGCCAAACAATTGAGCCTCTGAGCCTCCTTGTTCTCCTGGGTAAAGCAATGCTTACAGACTCCATAAGAGAATCTATTCAGAGGGTACCTGGCACAAGTACCCTCGTCGCTACTGACGACCTTCAAATGATTGCTATTAGCATTCTTGTCTCCTGCCATGCCTGTACTCAGATGGACTCGGGCGGGCCAGGAGAGCGAATTCTGGATGCGCCCCTGTGCCAGGAGGACTGTGAGCAGTGGTGGGAAGACTGCCGTACATCTTACACTTGCAAATCCAACTGGCATGGCAGCTGGGACCGCAGTGGGGGTGAGTGGTGCTCGGCAGGGACCCCACCTGGGGGCAAGCGCAAGCTCCCTCTGCTCCCCGAGGGCAAAGGATGGGGAGGTAAGGGTGTGCCTCCATCCCCCCCACAGGGAAGAACCGCTGCCCTGCAAGGGCCGTCTGCCGCCCTTTCCCCCATTACTTTCCCACCCCGGCTGACCTGTGTGAGAAGATTTGGAGCCGCTCCTTCAAGGCGAGCCCTGAGCACCGGGGCAGCGGACAGTGCCTGCAGAAGTGGTTTGAGCCTGCTAAGTGCAACCCCAATGTGGCTGTGGCCCGCCTCTTTGCCAGCACGGCCCTGTCCTGGGAAGCCTCCTACATGCTCATGGCCTTCTCCCTGCTCCTGTCGTTCCTATCCCAAAGCCTCTTCTTCTCCCACCCGCAGTCCTGTGCTCCCCCAGCTGTGGGTCAGGCTGGGCCACAGCAGCCCCCTTTCTTGGGTCCTTCAAATGGAGCAGCACAGGCTGGGGGGTAGGGGAGACACTGAGGCTGCAGATGCTGGTACCCGAGCCGTGAACATTCAGTTCAAGGCCTCCACCCCACCCCCCTCTGCTCTGTTCTGCCTTCCTCTGCCTGGAAGGCAGCCAGGGGCTGGGAGCGCCAACGTGACCTGCCCCCTTCCGCCTTTATGGCCGGTGGGACTCCAATGTGGGACTCCAGGCCCTTCTCATCCAGTGCGTGCCCACCTCCTTCCGTGGCAGAGCTGGTGGTCACAGCCCTGGCCTCCCTTCCCACGATGGTGCCTCCAATAAAACAGCAGTTGACCTTTCCCCTCTGTGTGACCCACTCTGTCCTAGCTCTATGGTCAGGGAGTCAGTCTGCACAAAGAGGGAGCCAGTCCGCCGGCCGCATTGAAGTCTCGAAGTTGGTTGCCACTTTTAACTCATAACAATTAGCTTCTTGAGAAAAAAAAAAAAAAA